CGCCCGCCCGAGCTGCCGAAGGAGCTGCCTGACGCCTGGAGCTTCGGCATCACAACTCACCTCCTTGACCCGCTCCAGCAGCGGCTCGAGCCAGTCCACGTTGCACTCGCAGTGGCTGTCCAGGAAGGTGAGCACGTCGGCCGTGGCGGCGTCCGCACCGTGGACTCTCGACCTCATGAGACCTGTGGCACACAGAGTCCGTCAATGTCAGCCCTTGTGCTGTCAGCTCGACACAGACGGCTATGGTCCATCGCGCGCTTAGGGATCGTCTAAAAAGTATACGTCCATTTTTCTCAGGGGCAAGTTACGGGAGCTCGGCGCCTGTGAAACTTGGGGTAGGCCGCCCCGCAGTGCATGCATGCACTGCATACGAAATGTTGCCTACCTATCAGGCGCTATGAGAGCTTACAGAGGCTGAACTTGGCAGATTCGTAACCGGCGAACGACGGACGTACTTTCTGGATGATCCCTTATTAACGATTCTCACTCCACCCACACTTACCTTCCCGCTTCTCGTTCCTGATGACCCTGACCTTCTGGATCTTGGCCAGCTCCTCGCCGTCGGAGGCTGCAACAAGCAGGGTGCACTTCACAGTCAAGGTGGTCTGGCCCGGGCCGAGCCGCCAGGCCCCGCCGAACCACACAGGCGAACCGCGCAAGAGGAGAGACTTATGGAGTGCGTGTTTATTGCGAGAGAGAGAAATGCGACGGGGGCTCGGTGCTAGCCCCCCTCACCTTGTCTCACTCGCTCTCGCAGCGTCCGTCCGTCCGTCTCTCTCGCACTCACACCGCGGTATGGTGGCGAGCGCGCAATTAATGGGCTGTGCTCTACTCGCTTGCGCCGCTCTGTGCGCCGTAAAGTCAGTCCCGGCGATCGCGCGCTCGACTGGCTGCCCGCCCGGCGGCCCGCCCGGGGCACTGCCAATAAGGCGGCGCGTCGGATATAAATCGAAATAAATCGTTGTGCACTTGCACCGCGGCGTGCACTTTAACTCACGGTTGTCGCTGAAGTCGTCCACCAGGATGATCTCCTTGATGAGGTGCTCCGGGCTGCGGTTCAGCACACTGGAAAAAAACAATCGCAACATTAAGTCAGCACAATGACGACATTTTGTCAGTAAAAACGACATAGCATTGGTGGAATGACAACATTTTTGTCAGCAAAATGCAATGACGGGGATTGGTTGATACCTGACGACGGTGCGGAGCAGGGTGGAGCGCGCCTCGTTGTGGAAGGTGATGATGACGGAGGTGGGCGGCAGGTCCTTGGTGGCGTACTTCTTCTTGTGGCACCTGGGAGGGACAGAGACGGAGCGGCCATGAGTCAAGAGCACAACGCGCTCACGCCACACAGCGGAGCAAGGTAAACAATGTTGCTCGGAAAAAACATACAAAATAACATGGAAAATAATAACGCAAAGAGACGACGCTAATACAGGAACACCCTGGAGGGAGATTTTGTCGCTTGTGGTTTGTTCGTTCCGGACCGAATACAACCCCCCGGGGCCGCAGAGACCAGGTAGGTGGCCACACACACGCCCCCGCACAGCCCTGCTGCTGGCGACAGGCATATGCATAACAAAGGACTCTCATGCATAAAATTGTATTTATTTTTTGGCGCGACGCAGAGCAGGTGACGCTCGGCGAGGGCATAATGACTAAATTCACATTCATTATGCATCTGGCCTGTGTGGCCGAGCGGGCGCGGGCAGCGCGGTGCGGGGCGGGGCGGCCCCGACCACCCCTGCGGCACTGCTCGGAAGCCGTACAACGCACACTATTCAGCAGAACACAAATGAGGGTAGCAGGCCGGCACTGCACCCCCCGCGCGCGCACGAGTGAGAGAGAGAGAGAACGCACGAGGAAATGAAAAGGACAACGTATGGGGTGGGTCAGGGCACACGTGACAGTCAAAACAGCAGCAGGGCGTGACACCCCCGAGCGACCGCGGCAGGCGGCGCGGGGTATGCGAAAATGTCACATGATTTCTGATCCAGTGTTCTGGTGGTGACCCCCTTTCACCCCAATGGCCCCAATGACCCCAATGGCCACCCAGTATACAGCGGAGCAGTAAGTTGTTATTGCGACGACACCACGAAAAAAGAAGAAGGGCGCGGGAAAACTCAAACTGCTCGCCTCGAAAAGAACCGGCGCGTGTGTGGTTTGTAAACGGCCGGCCCCTTTCTTGCACCGCAAAAACGCGCGCTAGTGCGGTGTGCTGTCTTAAGACGCGTGCGGTCCTCGAGCTCGCCCTCAGCCCCCTCCCTACAAACACACACACACACACACACCTACTGGACGCGGTGAAGGGAATGGAAGGTTGCGCCGTCGGCATGCACACACACCACTCGCGGGCTCACGAGGGACCCGCTGCCACCGCCGTCCTGCAAGTGCGGCGTGAAAGTGAAAACCCATACGGGGAATGCGGCTCGGGTAAGGCGGGCATGGCGAGCCTACAGGCCAGCCGCATGGGCAGTCCCGTCGCGTCTCTACGAGTCCTGCTGCTGCCGCTGGCTGTCCTCTGTACGGGAATCGGTCTGTGTGTGAGAGGGAGTGAATGTGCGGCCGAGTGTGCGTGTGTGTGTGCACAAACAAGGCGAAGCGAGGCAAGCGCGCAAGACAGCCCGCCGGCGCGGCTGTGCTCTGTACCTTTTTGCTCCCCGTACTCTACGCACGGCTACCCTCGTCAGTACCCTCTCAGGCGCCGGCCTGGCTGCCTGACTACCCATACGGTCGTTTTCGAATGAAAAAGACCAAAATAAAGACACACGCGCGCACGCCGCTCCGCACCTTATCGGGCACACAGGGTGCACTATCGTGTCGTGTATAGGGGAATGTTTCACTACACGTGTATGTGCACCACAATCGCCTGAAACGACATGCCCGGCAACGCAAGGCAATGAGCAAACACCGACGCAAACACACAGACAAACAAACACACACTACACGCTCTCGCGCGCAGAGTGAAGGGCACACCGTGTCGTCCTGGAGGTGGTCACGTATGGTCACCTCCCTCCTACACAGAGAGGCGCGCGTGCATAGCCCATGCAGAGCAGCGGCGCCCAGAGGGGGCCCACCTCCGGCGAGGAGAGCACTCGCGCGGGGCCACCTGGGCCCTGGGCCGGCCCCAGCGTTGCGAAGTGCTAGTTGCCCGCCCCGCCCCGCCTCCTCCTCAGCGCCGGCCACACCAGCCTCACCTACGCCGCCGCTCGCCGCTCTCCACCACATCGCGTGCAGTCTCGCATTGCATTACCGCACCGAGCTGACCCGCGGCCGCGCGCGTCTCAGGTGGCACCGAAAGGGAAAGGGAGAGAGAGGACGAGACGGGCCGGCGGGCCGGCGGACCGGGCCGCAGGCGGCGCCCCGACGGGCAATCAATCGTTAACATCGCGCGGGTCTTCCCTTTTAATAACGACCTCACGCTACGTAACGCTTCCGTTTCAAACAACTTTTAAGAGAACAGTTAGTTTCGAACTTTTTCTCTCCATACTTTTTCCTTCATTTTTTTAGTTGGCAGGTGGCAGGGGGCACAAGGGCCTATGCTGAGGCCATAAAGGAAAGCCGCAGCCCTGGAGGATCAGGCAACGAGGAAAAGGGGGGGGGGGGGGCTAGATATAGGGAGCAGCTGGATCTGGTCGGATCTGGTGTCCCGTCTGCGTCTGGAGCCCTCCTCCTCTCGTGTCCTGGGCGCGAGTCCCGCGCCCGCAGCCTGGAGCGGCCGCTGGAACGCACGCCGGTGCGCACGGCCGTGGCCGCCCTCGCGTGACGCCTTGCGTAACGCCTCCAGGGCGGACGGCCCGCTGGAGCCTGGAGCCTCCAGGTGGCAGGCGCCACCCTCGGCGCTCTAGTCAGGGCGCCCACTGGAGCACAGGTTATACCGGCCGCGCCGGGCGTTGATGGACGCGCCTGACGCGTCACGCCACCGTACACGTACACTTCTCCAGACCAGGGATTTTAAAGTTCGAAATTTTTCCGGACAGAGTGGAAAATAACCGTCAAGAAAAAATCGGAAAATTTTGAAATATTTCAAAAATAAATTGAGAAAAAAAGTGAAACTTAGGAAAAAATTAAGAGATTTAAAAAAATCTCCAGACGCCACTTGCTTCTTCTCCGACTCCGACCACTGTCCGCCACCTTATCCAGGCTACCGCGCGTCCATTTCTCCAGCCAGCCAACAAATACTACAACCCGCCCACTTCTCCAGCCGGCTGACACCCGCGCTTGCCGGGATATAAATGTTGCCACTCTCCCTCTTCGTGACGTCCACACCGTCCTGGTTGGTGCTGCTTAAGGTCCAAGTCGTGCTCCCAGCGCGTGCGAAACGTCGCGGCATGGCGTGGCGTGGCACCGGCGTGTCCGTCCGGCAGTGTGGGAAGGCGTGGCGGGGTGTGGCATGGCGTGGCGGGGCGGGGCCGTGTCCGTCCGGCATGCCGTATCGTGTGGCTGGGTACGGGCAGTGTGCCGGCCGCGAGTCTCTCCTACCCCTCCCCCCCTGTCTCTCTCTCTCTCTCTCTCTCGCTCTCACACGGGGTGCGAGTCCTGTTTATCGGATCGCTCAGCACGGGAGAAAGCCCCGCCATGTCGCCGCCTCACCGCGACAAAAATCAATAATCATTGTACCGCCTGTGCTTCGTGCGCGGAGCTCCGCTAGCGCGCGCGGCCGCCGAAGCCCTGCATGCCCTGCATGCGGCGGAGCAGAGCGGGGCCGCGCGCACAGCGAGCATACTTCAGAGCAGGCGGGGGCGGAGCGCGGGGCGGGACAGGCCGCGGGACCGGCTGAGCAGCCGTCTGATTCAGAAGAGCGTTCAAGAGGGGCTCTCCTATACCTGCCCTATCAGTGCAACAAAGGACGGAGACGGAGCTATACGGGAGGTATAGGAGAGCCCCTCTGGAGCGCTCTTCTGAATCAGACGACGGGCTGCGATGGCCGCTTCCTCTTGGACTGCGGGTTTTACAGCACCATCCACCTCTCTCTCTCTCTCTCTCTCTCTCTCTCTCTCTCTCTCTCTCTCTC